TAAGAATTATATGCCCTGATTCTAATTACCACCGAGAGCAATGAGAAGTACACTAAAAGAAATCAAGCATAGACGACACATAAAATTTGTAGAGACTACATTCTTTTTCAACTGCTGTAGTTTTTTCACTAGGATTAAGAAGAAGTTACAATAAAAAATCGCACACTGCTCCAGTTATTTTCTACCTCTCTAATCATCTCAAAAAACGGCACCCCCTTTTACAATGAAAATAAGTGTGAAATTCTTATACTACCCTTAATAAAATTTTGGTCTGGAAGCTCCGCTCCTCCACCCCGAGAGAGGGCTTCCTTTATTTTTTTTCATGGACTATTTTAACCTTAATTTATTACTGATTAATTTTGATTTATCATTGATTGACCGCGATCTATAACTGACTGATTTTTATATTTATAAAAAGCCATGGCACAATTTTGAAAAAGATGGACTATTCACTTAAATAAGCGTTATAAAGGCACCACCCAATCCAAATCCCCAACTATATATTGAAAATGTCAAACTATAAAAGTGATTTGTGTAATTATCTCTTCGAAACTTGTCCTCAATTTTGTTTAAGTAAAACTTATGGTAGGAATTTTTTTTAACCATATCAGTAAGTACTGTTGTTTTTTACGTTTGGTGAGTGGATTCGTATCATGATTCGAATCATAGTTCGTAGTTCATTACAGTATTTTCTCTCATAAAAAATACACGTAAACCGAGAATGATTATAAATCCATGAACTAAACGTAATGATTTAATTTATAATTAGAAGAAGTTCTACGTCACGCACTTTAAATTTTCAACATAAACACTTAATTAAATCGTTAAAAAATTAATCTAACAATTAGAAACATTGTACCTAAAAATAAAATCAAAATGCTTACGCTATCATAAAAATTGCCTTTTGTTCGTGATAGGGCAAAATTGAAACTCATATACGATACATCAAATATACAGTGTGATTCTCAACATTAGAGACAACTTCTAGAAATTATAAAACAACGATAAATAATTTGACAATTATCCCCGGCATTCCATTCTTTTTTTTTTTTTTTTTTCAATTCCTCTTTCTTTTTTTTATCCCTCGAAGATTTGAAGATATCACAAGGCAGCCCAACCGCAAACATGCATATTTGATTCTAATAAAATCAATCGCGCTCTCTCTCTCTCTTTCTCCAATGGATGATTCTATCAACTTTGTTGAACTGTATAACCTCAGGGCTCATAAAATATATATATATATATATATATATGTGTGTGTTTTGCTCAATTAGAAGTCTTCAATTACCTTTCAATTAAAATTAATTTGTACGTCAGTCAAACCCAATACGTCGGGAAACCTTACAATTAAAGCTAACAAAACAAACCCACTTGCATTCAACCTTAAACCACTTTTAACTCTTTTTTGTTCCTTTAGACCGACTTATCATGCAATAGCAATAGCGGCTTGTCACTTTTAAAATTGTCCAAAGACTTCGCTTTTATCCACAGCAAACAAACACCTCGACACCACGTCTTTAGCCTCCCATTAGCTCTTTAATTAAGCACAAATTGTAGAATTAACAAAAGGCATGAGACATAATCATTGAGCCATCTTTGTGCCATAATATGCTATTATTAATTTATCTTCTTTTTTTTTCTTTTTTTTTTTCCTTCTTAGCAACTTGCGGTTTTGCGGTCTTGCGCCTAAAATGTTTTTGAAGGAAATCTTTAAAAAACTTTATTAAAAATATCTACACGAGAAAATCACAACTTTTTAAAGTATTTTTGTCATTTATTAAGCCTCGTTCACTTCGAGAATTCGAGTTGAGATATAATATTTTCTGAGAGTTTTTCACTGTAGCAAAAAAAGTTAGCTGTGACATTTTTTGAAAACTTTTTACTGTAAAAATCTAGAATTAAAAACTCAAATTAGTGAAATAAATGATGTCTTATTTTTTTCTAAAATTAATCAGGAAGGATAAAATTGTAATATACGTACCAAATCTAAGTGATTTTTTGTAGTTTCTAAAAACAGAGTGGTGAATTGTAAAAAATTAAAATAAAATAAAACTAAAAGTTATATTTATGAGTTAACCTGAAAAAACTATACGCGAACAGTTTCTTAATAATTTTGGTACGTTCTTAGCCTTGCTTTGAATCTATTTTTATTTTTTTCTTTTGAATCGTTTTTTCCTTAAGTTCTATATAAATTTGCTACATTAATTTTTACTTTTTAAAATATACGTGATAGGTCTGAATATTCTGCCACAAAAGTATGTGAGGAAGGGAGGAAAAAAACAAAATAGAATAATCTCCATCCTCCATATGGTTATATGGTATTCTTTATGATTTCGTAGGCAGTAAGTAAGCTTTAATTAAA